AAATTACGGCCCCGGACACAATGAGACTGAATCCAAGAGACCCACAAAGTGTTTCTGCCCTTTAGAATATCCCAAATATGCTTAAAAAGAAGACACCTATTCCAAGTCGCAAGTCTTTTCATACCAAGACCCCCACTTTGAATAGGCGAGCAAACAGTATCCCAAGCAACTCGACATTTACCCATCTGACCCTCAGTTTTATTCCATAAAAAATTAGGAAATAGCTGCTCAATTTCATGGATTGTTGTCGCCGGTACTAGAAATACCGACATCCAATAAGTTTGCATTGAGTGGAGCACTGAGATAATTAGTTGTCGACGCCCTCCATAGGAAAGGAATTTATTCTTCCAGTTTAAAAGTCGAGATTTAAGCTTTAACACAAGGGGATTAAAATCACGTACCTTCAGACGGACCGGGGAAAGAGGAACTCCCAAGTAACGTATGGGGAAAACCCCTGGCCGAAAAGATAAGGTATCTCGTATAAGAGTTTGGACCTCCATTGCTACATTCCCGAAAAACACCTCACTCTTCTCCAAACTTGGCGACAAACTCGATCGTTCTTCAAACAAGAGAAGGCCACGTTTAATGACTTCCACTGAAATAATGTCCCCCTTTGAGAAGATAAACAAATCATCAGCAAAGCATAGATGAGTCAGCTTTATATCCGCACAACCTTGATGATAAGAAAATTTTGCCTCCTCCTCAATACACTTCGAAAGAAGCATCGAGAGACCCTCCATAACAATAGTAAACAGATAAGGGGAAAGAGGGTCTCGTTGACGAAGGCCCTGTTTACCATGAAAAAAACCTTCCGGCTGTCCATTAACACAAACAGAATACGTGGGAGTAGATATCAGAGTCTTTATCCAGTTAATCATGACTGGATGAAAACCCTTGCCCTTCAGCATCTCCGAAAGAAACTGCCAATCAACAGTGTCATAGGCCTTTCGAATATCAATCTTAAAAGCACATTTTGGTTCCCCTTCAGAACGCTGATATCCAGCAACCAGCTCATGCGCCATTAAGATATTATCAGTTATTTGGCGCCCAGGAATGAAAGCAGATTGAGCCTTGCTAACAAGAACATCCAGCGATCCTTTCATCCGATCCGCAATAACCTTCCTAATACACTTCAACAACACATTACAACAAGCAATTGGCTGATAATCAGTAACAGTAGATGCATTAGGAACCTTTGGAACAAGGCAAAGAAGAGTATGGTTCAGCTGATACTCCAAAGTTCCTGAATAGAAGAAATTGTGTATCCCAGTGAGAACATCCCGACCAACCACATTCCAAGCTGCTTTAAAGAATTTAGAAGAATACTCATCAGGTGCTGGAGCCTTATCATTCCCAATGGCAAACAAAGCATCCTTTATCTCCATATCCGAGATAGGATGGATTAAGTGAAGAGAAGGAGTCTAAGTGGGTCAAAATGAGACTAGATGGCTCATATTCAGTTTGATCGGACATTAGAGGGTATAATTGGCTTATTTCCCCATTTTGAGTCTAATTGAGTTATCATGGTGCTAAATGGGTTAGAGTTAGTCTAATCAGAAGTTAATTGGAGCAATTGAGGTATAATGTGTCTTAATGGTCCTTATTGGGTCCATTTCGTGTTAGTGGATATAATGGGCTGTTACTCCTTACGGAGTCCAATTGGGTCATAATGACACAAACTAGGTCCTGAAAGCGCCACATCTCTCCTTGAGGAGTCTAATTGGGTCAAAATGATACTAAATGAGTCAAAATTAGTATATAACTAGACGTTAGTGTGACTAATTGAGGTATAATGGTTCCTAAGGGTCCTTATTGGGTCCAATTGGTCCTAGTAGGAAGAGTGTGCCTACTTCTTTTAATCGAGTCATTCGTGTCAAAATGACACTAAATGGATCGTAGTTAATCAAATTGGACCCAAATTGGTTTAACAGGCCCATTTCTTTATAAGGAGTTTACTGAAAGGGGAGAACTCCCCAGGCAATTTTATAAAGGCAAATTAAAACAAGCAATCAAAGTACAGATCAGCAGGAAAAACTACGGAAACTTTGACTCACCAACCAAGGCACAAAAAGCCAAAATAAACAAAGAGAAATGCACCATAAAAGAACTCTAAAAGAAGCTGAAAAAATGAAAAGGCTAAATACCAAAGACTTCCAGAACCGAAACCCATCACCCTCCGCAAATTCACGTGCCATTTATTCTCATAAGCTTCTTCCTTGTCTTCCACGCCATTCTTTAAAGAATCTGTGTTTTGATATCAGCCACAACTTGAGCACCAATGCGGTGATTATTGTCAAAGAATTTTCTATTCCTTTCCATCCATATGTGATATACCGTAGCCGAGATACCCAGTTTTTGAACCGTAGACCACAATTTCCACCCTTGTTATATCCCCATATTAAGGATATCCTCCCATTTGTCCGGACATATCTGGAGCCCTATTTCCCTCTTTATTACTTCCCAAATACTATTCGAATAGTTGCACTCAAAGAATAAGTGATTATGTGTTTCAATCACCAAGTTGCAAAAAACACATTGCAGATCAGGTGGTTCATGCTTCCACTGGCAAATGCGATCTTGAGTCGGTAATCTTTTCTAACAAGCCATCCACATGCAGAGAGCATGTTTAGGTATATATGCTTTATTCCAAACCACCTTATGCCAATGCACAACCTGACCCACTTCTTGCAAAGTATGCCACACCACCTTCACCTCAAAAAGCTGCCGATTCTTGTTAGGTTCAAGCCACCTAATCGTATCTTCTTCAAGACTAGGAGATGGGATCATAATATGCTGCAACTGGGGAAATTGTTGTACCCATTCATCCGGCCACTCATTACCAAATCGTTGCATGAGATCATAAACTGTAGAGTTATTATGAAACCCATTGCCATTGATGAACCTATACGAAAGCAACTGGATAAGGGGACCCTGTTCACTCCAAGTATCTTCCCAAGCATTTGTGGACATCCCGTTACCCACATTTGAGAAAAAAATCTCCTACAGTGAGGTCTCAACTGTAAAAGGTTTCGTATAAGCCAAGACCATTCATTTCTCTTCTTTATCACCCAAAAATTTCTCCCCCGAATACAGTTTGAATGAATCCAAGAAACCCACATAGAACTTCCTCTAGTAATAATATCCCAAATATGTTTAAACAGCAAGCACCTATTCCAAAGGGCCATCCTTTTCATGCCAAAGGCCCCCATTTTTAACAGGCAAACAAACCCTTCCCCATGAAATTCGACATTTACCCAACACCCCTTCCGCCTTATTCCATAAGAAATTACGACAAACTTGTTCAATTTCATGGATTGTAGCTGCGGGGAGTAGAAAAACCGACATGCAATATGTTTGCATCGATTGAAGGACATATATGATGAGTTGTCTTCTACCTCCATAAGAAAGAAATTTGTTTTTCTAGTTCATCAATCGAGTTTTAAGTTTAACCACAAGAGAATTGAAATCACTTACCTTCAATCTAGCCGGAGAGAGGGGAACACCCAGATACTGAATAGGAAACACCCCCGGACGAAATGGAAGGCAACTTCTAATGGCATGTTGAACTTCCAACGCTACATTTTCGAAAAACACCTCACTTTTTTCGAGACTCGGAGACAGACCCGATCGAGCTTCAAACGTTTGGAGGGACCCGTTTGATCACTTCTGATCATCAGCAAAACATAAATGAGTTAACTTGAGGTCTTCACATCCTTGGTGGTAAGCAAAATTCACTTCCTCATCAATACACTTTTTGAGGATCATCGATAATCCTTCCATTACCACCGTAAACAAGTAAGGAGATAGAGGATCTCCTTGTCTAAGCCCACGCCTTCCATGAAAAAAACCCTCCGACTGACCATTAACACATATAGAGAACGTTGGCGTAGAGATTAWCGACTTTATCCAATTGATCATAACGTGATGAAAACCCATTCCCTTCAACATCCCAAGCAGATACTTCCAGTCAACAGTATCATAAGCTTTCTTGATATCGATCTTGAAAGCACATTTTTGCTCCCCCTGGAGTTTCTGGTAACCCGCCACAAGCTCGTGTGCCATTAAAATGTTATCAGTAATCTGTCGTCCAGGAATAAAAGCAGATTGAGTCTTACTGATGAGGCCATCCAAAGAGCCTTTTATCCTGTCCGCAATGATTTTACTAATACATTTAAGCAACACATTGCAACAAAAGATGGGTCGAAAATCAGAAACATAGGACGCATTTGGTACTTTCGGAATAAGGCAAAGCAAAGTGTGATTCAACTGATACTCTAGGATGCCCGAGTAGAAGAAATTATGAATCCCAATAAGAATATCCCGACCCACCACACTCCAAGCAGACTTAAAGAATTTCGAAGAAAACCCATCAGATCCTGGGGCCTTGTCATTTCCAATAGCAAATAAAGCAGACTTTATTTCCATATCAGTAATGGGTCGAATTAATTGCAGAGATTCCGTTAAAGAAAGAACGATAAAAAACACAATCCTCCATAGAAGGATTAACCATCGCATCAAAAGTACCCAAAATACCTGAAAAATGAGTAATAAAAGCTTTGGGAACTTCATCATGTTCAAAAACCATACCACGAGAGTCCTTAATGGCGGCAATGTGATTCCTGTTGCGCTTCTCTTTCATGGAATGAAAAAAGAACTTAGAATTGCCATCCCCCTCATTCAACCAAGAAATCTTCGCCTTTTGTTTAACCATTTCCAACTGATCATTCCTAGCTTGTTGATATGCTAACAAGAGATGAGCGACATCCTCTTTTAGCAAATCATTAAAAGGATCTAGGTCACAAGCCAATTGAGCAACATCAAGCTCCGACTTTAACAATGTCACCTTCTTATCCAAGCAACCATAAGAATTCCTTAGTCTACGGCAAACCCCTTTCATCTCTTGCATTTTAAGTAGAATTTTCTTCATATAGGAGCCTCTCTTCTGTTTTATCCACACTCCCTCAACCGAACTGAGAAAATCCTTATGAGAAGTCAAGAAATTATCAAACTTGAACCCACAATTTCTAATCCTTTTCCCACCTTTGAAAGTTAAAATACCCGGCGAATGGTCAGAGATCCCTCTTGGTTCAAAGAAATCCGATGCATCCCCAAATTTATCAATAAACTCCAAGTTCCCCAAAATCCGATCTAATTTGCGAAGAATACCCCCATCTCCTGACGGTTTCTGAATCCAAATGTATTGGCACCCTTGATAAGAGATATCAAAAGCTCCACATCTTCTAGACAAATGTGGAATTCTTCCATATCCGAGTTACGCCTAGACGACCCACCCAACCCATCATGAGGGAAAAGCATCGTATTAAAGTCTCCCATTGCTATCCATGCTTTATTATCGATAAAAGCTTTAAATTTCCTAAGAGCTCTCCAAAGATCCCTCCTTTCCACCCCTGTATTACACCCATAGATAAATGTACAAAAGATAGACTTCGGCTTACCAACAATACGGATTTCACAATTAACATATTGCAAATGCTGTGCAATCACAATCAAGGACAAAACAGACGGGTCCCAAGCAATAATAAGGCGTGTACCTTGAGTACAAGAGAGACCATTTGAGACCCAATTCCAACTTCCAAAAACACGACCACTCACATCTCCCAAATTACTCGGTAAAACTTTAGATTCAATAATGCAACATAACGAAAGACTTTTTACACGGATAAAATCACGTACCTCTCTTTGCTTTATTAGGGCATTTAGACCCCTAATATTCCATGAAGCAAACTTAATCATTGTGATTGAGAAATGGTTGCATCACCCTCCCCCATACTCCCGTCAGCCGCCTCATTGTTATTACCACTAAACAAACCCCCAGCATCACACCTAGCCGTATCAATTATCTCCATATCATCATCTTCCCTAGAATCATCAGAAGATAAAGACGAGAACCGGTTATTTGTAGATGTTTGAGCCACAACACCCCGTCTCGACTGGAATGCTTGTACCACAGCCTTGACTAGTTCCGGACCCCCCGGATGACGGATCGGTAAATTCAAACTACCCTTTTTACCTCTGGGCGTTCTTCCAGCATCCACAGTACAATACGTCCCTCCCACATGCTCATCACTATTACCAGTTGCGACTTCAAAAACCACAGATTTAGATTTAGGACTAACAACACCGTTCTCCTTTAGGTTCACATCCGGAGGTATTACCTTTGGTGCTGGCTTTAAAACACCAACACCATATAGCATATCAGAAGTCACAATAGCTTCATCTTTATTAGCTGTAGATGTTTCCACCTGATTCCCATTATGAGCTCGGGGATTATACTTCGGCCTCCATTGTTGATGTCGAGATTTAGGAAAACCCTCCTTTCCAGACACCTTTTGATACTCTATTGGTTGCCGAATAACCCCTTTCATGCATGAAGAATCCCTATGACCAAAATTTTTACATATGGAGCATTGAGACGGCACCCAATCATATTCCAAGACCACTTTGACCATATCTTCACCAATACCCGAAAGCCTCAGGATTACCACTTCAACTTCCCTCTGCAATTTCCCCACGGCCCAAACATTCACCAGAACCTTTGCAAAGTTTGTTCTCCCCCAAGCTTTATCACAAGTGCTTGCCGTACAAGCATCCAAACGTAAAGAAACCCCAACCGCACTAGCAATACGACTAATTCCCTCTCTATTAAAGGCAACTAGAGGGATGTTAAAAAATTTAATCCACAAAGGGCACAATGAATGTTCAGGTTTAAATAGCCCTTTTGACAGGTCCCAAGGAGAAACAAACAGTGGCACCCCTCTTATCATTAGAGGAGACGAATCAACCACTTGAGCACATCCACCTTCATCATTAAATCGAAAGAAGAAATAACCAAGATCATTCACCATAGCATCTTTAAAACCAAATTTTCCCCACGCATTTTGAACCGCACGTAAAACAAGAGGGAATCGAAATCTAGTTCCCAGAAAATACCCATAAAGAACCGTTTGGAAAGATTTTGCCATACCTCTAGTGACTTCTAAAGGGAATTGAATCCTTGGATTCACACTCTTTTCCACCGGATAATAGGTCAACTCCGAAGAGGGAGCACCTCCAACAACTGCAGCAAAAGACTTCCGATTCTGAGACAAATTTACACCCGCGTCCGTAGGAGATAATCTCTCCCAAACCGAGACCCGTTTTTTTATTTATGGAATGCTCACATCAGCCCTCAAAAGCCCATCCTTTGCTTCATATGCACGCTTGCTTACATCAGCCTAGCATCGGACGATACAGTGACGTCATCACTACCATGCAAAGTATGAGGGGACACATCCCCTAAGATCACATACGCAAAATCTTGGTAAAGCGATTCTTACAAGATCACATCTGCAAAATCACCCATTGTCTCCTCAACACATAAAAACCTAGCTCCCTTTTCCCCAAGTCAAGAAGCCGTGGTGCTGAAACCCTTAGAGTGTTCTTAATAAAATAAACGAAGACCTCACAGGTAGGTGCTGAATATTTTATCAAGTAACTCTTCAAAGGTAACGAAGACCTCGAAAACACTTGACACGAGAATAAGAGACTAGAAAAACCAAACAAAAACAGCAACAAACCCGCAACAAAATACCAACTAAACCACGTACCAAGAGATAACAATCCGCAATGGCTCGAGAATTAAGGTACCGAGAGCAGCAGCAAGAACACATCCAGCAACGTGCAACAGCATGACCACAACGCATAGGAATAGAAGCAAACACCAGCCGCTAAACCCCACCCAAAGCAAAACAGCAGCAAAAAAGAAAACCGGCTCGCCGCTTTCCCAACAGCAACGAAGGAAATCAACACCAATAAGACCAAAACCCTCGGAGCAGAAAACCCCAAGATGAACGAACAGGGCAAAAACCCAGCAACAGCCCTTGGTCAGCAATCGCAGTCAGCATACAGCCGACTACAACTAAAGCAAAAGCACACAGCGAAGCCGAGAGGAACAGCAGCCACAGTCACATGAAATAACACCAAACCCTAGTCCTACAAACTGTCGAACACCTCACAGGAACAGCAACACCAAACGCAGATCAAAAACAGCAGATCAAATAGTAAAAGGAATAAACCAGCCAACAGATACCAATCAAAACAGATCCAAACAGCAGCCACAACCAAAACCCACGAAACTACTGTGTAAAGGAAAAACCCTAGCGCTGACGACAGAAAATCGCTAAACCAAATACAAAGCAGATCGAAATGGAAACATACCGCAAAGGCAGGAAAACAGAAAAGAGAACCGGCGTGGACGAAAAAAACGCAGCCAAGAAAACACCAAGCCGCAGAAAACCCTAATCGGCCGTAGTAAAGAAGAAAACCATAGACCAATGATAATTCAGATCATAAAAGACGAATAAACAAACTAGACGAACCAACATGCAGGCACGAAACTCCAAGAATCATCCAAACGAAAGCATCATCATCCTTTCATTATTATAAGGAGTCTACTGAAAGGGGAATTCCCCAGGCAATTTTATAAAGACTGTAAAAAGCGTCACCAAAACAAAACAATCAGCAAGAGAAACTACGGCAACCTTGACTCACAAACCAAGTCATAAGGAGCCAAAACATACAAAGGGAAATACACCAAAACAAAATAACTCCAAAAGCCAACAAGCAAAAGGCAAAAAAACCCAAAACAACCAAACCCGAACGAGCACCACCTACGTGATCACATGTCATTGAGATTCATAATCTTCTTTCTTGTCTTCCACGCCATACGATGAAGAATCTGCATCTTGATCACCCCAATAACTTTATCCTCCGAATGATTAAAATTGTCGAAGAACTTCCTGTTACGTTCCCTCCAAATATTATAAATCGTTGCCGATAGACCCAGTTTCTGAACCGTAGACCAAGATTTCCAAGATTGAGCGGACCCTCTATGAAGAATATCCTCCCAATTATTCGGATAAGACAATAATCCCACCTCCTTTTTAATGCAATCCCAAATCCTGCTTGAATACGAGCATTCAAAAAATAAGTGATTATGCGTTTCAATCACTAATTTACAGAACACACACTTTAAATCCGGGGGTTCATGCTTCCAYTGACAAATACGATCTTGGGTAGGCAATTTCTTCTGGCAAGCCATCCACATACAAAGARCATGTTTTGGAATGAAGGCTTTGTTCCAAACAAGTTTATACCAATGCACAATCGGATGCACCTCTTCTATAGCCTCCCATGCCACTTTTACCTGAAAGTCACCCCTAGCACCATTTTTATCAAGCCACCGTATTTTATCGACTCCTTGAGAGAGAGAAGGTATAGGACATTGTGCAGCTGAGGATAACGATGAAGCCAATCWKCCGGCCAGTTAGAACCAAATCTGTGCATTACATCATAGACCGTAGAATTATTATGGAAACCCTGCCCATTGATAAATCTATAAGACAAAACCTGAATAAGAGGTCCCGAAACGCTCCAAGTGTCTTCCCAAGCATGTGTCGATAAGCCATTACCCACAWCAGAGATAAARAAGCGCCGGCAATGAGGTCGTAGATCTAAAAGAGACCGAAGGATCCAAGACCATTCATTCCTTTTCTTGATAACCCAAAAGTTTCGACCCCGAACACAGTGAGAGTGAATCCAAGAGACCCACATCGTATTTCTTTCCCTTAGAATATCCCAAAATGACACTAATTGGGTTTATTTAGTTTGATCAGACCTTAATGGATATACTGAAAGGGGAACATCCCCAGGCAATTTTATAAAGACGAATAAAAGAGAAACCTTACAACGAGCAAATTAGCAAGAAAAACTATGGCAACTTTGACTCACAAATGAAGCCATAAGAAGCCAAAAAAGACAAAGGGAAATGCACCAAAACATAAAGTTAAAACAAGCCAAAAAATATATGGCGTAAATCACCAACATCTTCCAAAACCATACACCTTCATCATCCACATTATCACACGTCATTGATTCGTGTGAGTTTCTTCTTTGTCTTCCACGCCATTCTTTGAAGGATCTGCATTTTGATCTCAGCCACAACTTTGTCTGCAGCATGGTTGTAATTGTCAAAGAACTTTCTGTTCCTTTCCCTCCATATATGGTATACTGTAGCCGATATACCAAGTTTTTGGACCGTAGACCATGATTTCCACCTTTGTGCTAAACCCCTGTTAAGAATATCCTCCCATTTTGTTATAACCCGGTTTCAGACAATCTGGGTTAAGGTAAAATTATACATGATTAATATTTGAATATCTAATGGTATGCATGATAAAATAATATACATGGATGATATATGTGCAAAGACATGATAAACGTAAGAGGATGCATGCATATGTTATGTTATGTATGTGTATACATGTGATAAATTGCATACCTTAATAGATAAGGTACATGTGCAATATAATAATATTTAAATGGTATCTTATTGATGAAGTAAGATGGTATCTTAGAGATGAAGTAAATTAATGGTATCTTAGAGATGAAGTAAGATGGTATCTTAGAGATGAAGTAA